CCGCTTGGTACTTGTCGGCGATCGCGTCACGCTTCGAGAAGTGCGCATTACAGGCTCTGTTAGTCTCTTCTTCCTTTTTTCCATCATGCGCCTAACTACTGCGTAGCCATATCTGTGCTTTGTCGGAATGCTCGTCGCTCCCTCTTGCGACTTTACAGAAAATCCACGAGTCTCCGGTTTCACGAAGCTTTAAACTGTATTAATAATTCCGCCCAATATAATAAATATTGGTAAATATAATCGCAAGAAAGACACTTTCCCAGTTTCTATTTGTAACGCATACGGTAATTAAAAGGCTACTTATTTCTTCATTTTCGTCGACATCAATATGGCCGCCATTACGTGTCGTTTCAGATAAACTTTGTTATTAAAGCCGGCACTATTAAAAATTAAAATCAGTTTACGTGTAACGCGTGAAACAGGGTACCATCATTTATTTACCTTTTCCTCCCAGTTAAACTGTGTTATAATTAAAAGATTACCTTCGTTTCATTTTTTGGAGCTCAGCGAGGAACGAATACTCCTTATCGCACCCTTGCAATCGCGCATCGACACTGCGCAACGTATGTGGCGCATGCGCAGCATATGGGCCGCGATTTACGTACGTGCGTGTGTACACGTAATCGCGTTTAGTGAGTACACGCCAACTGCAAGTCCCCCAAAATAAAATGACGCCAACAGTAATTTCCGTAATTCTTTCGTTCTTCTGAATCAATGAGGGTTGCGACGTATGATTCAATTGTTCCATTAGAAATGTATTTAACCTCGAAATATGTATTCCGTCACAAATTTGTTAACGGCATTCTAACCTCAAATTACGTAATTTCGTATTAAATTCCTACATTGATACACATGCTTCGTCTGAATTCGTATTAAATTCGTATTGTATAATTTTTATTTTCACGTACAATTCATATACACATGCTTTGTCTGAATTCGTATTAAATTCGTATTGTATAATTTTATTTTCACGTACAATTGATATACACATGCTTCGTCCGAATTCGTATTAAATTCGTATTGTATAATTTTTATTTTCACGTACAATTGATATACACATGCTTCGTCTGAATTCGTATTAAACTCGTATTGTATAATTTTTTACAATTGATATACACATGCTTCGTCCGAATTCGTATTAAATTCGTATTGTATAATTTTTATTTTCACGTACAATTGATATACACATGCTTCGTCTGAATTCGTATTAAACTCGTATTGTATAATTTTTATTTTCACATACAATTGATATAGACATGCTTCGCCTGAATTCGTATTAAATGCGTATTGTATAATTTTATTTTCACGTACAATTGATATACACATGCTTCGCCCGAATTCCTATTAAATTCGTATTGTATAATTATTATTTTCATGTACAATTGATATTCACATGCTTCGTCTGAATTCGTATTAAATTTGTATTGTATAATTTTTATTTTCACGTACAATTGATATACACATGCTTCGTCTGAATTCGTATTAAATTCGTATTGTATAATTTTTATTTTCACGTACAATTCATATACACATGCTTCGTCTGAATTCTTATTAAATTCGTATTTTATAATTTTTATTTTCACGTATAATTGATATACACATGCTTCGTATGAATTTGTATTAAATGCGTATTGTATCATTTTTATTTTCACGTACAATTGATATACACATGCTTCGTCTGAATTCATATTAAATTCGTATTGTTTAATTTTTATTTTCACGTATAATTGATATACACATGTTGATGGAGTATTTCTTTTCCAGATGGTTCCAACATGGCTGAACAGTTTTTAACAATGGGTCAACCTAATGAAGTATCCCGTTAGAAGAGGCCACTGATGCGACCGGTAACAAGATTAATGTACGCGATCGGTCACATGTGTTAATAGCAAGTATGTTCGACTGTTAATCGAGAGAGTCATTAAATTGTTAAATGTCAGTTTAATCGTTTACACCATGTTACAGGATTGACACGGTAATACGGTTCAACGAAGGTAGGTGGAGAAATAATCAAAAATAGGCGCTGCCGGGCATTTAATTACCCTATTTAAGTTTTGTAACCGGGAGATTATAAAACGAGTCATTATGAAATCCAAAACGGAAAGCGGCGGAACGGCCGCAGGTGTCGCGTGTTTACCTGCGGTTTTCTTTTTTCTTTTCTTTTTTATATTCGCGACGCGGATGATAAATGACTCCAAGCCTCTGAATATTACGATCTAAATTGCAGTCGAAGCGAAAGGATAACTGATTTGCTTTCTTCTCAGCCGGGCCATTGTTCATTTTTTAAAGTCTATCTTTACTGGGAATTAGAAATCGCTCTTACAATGTCTGGCGACGTGAGTTATGTTTCACACGAGAAATAATCTAACGGCGACGAAGCATGGTTAGTAATAAAACTTACGATCTTAAACATGATACCCAGTTGTTGCTTTGCTACTTTTTCAATTGAAATTTAACATTATATCGTATGCGATGGACTTTAAGAATGGCCGATTTACGAACGGTCGCCAAGGATTAATTAATTCCTAGGTACGGGACCTATAAAGGAGGGTAACCAAACGAATATTTACTTATTGCTAATTTCATTACCATTATCAAATTTGACGTTTCGAATCAAAGAAACATTTCATTGAATAGTGCCGCAGAAATGTTGCCTCCAGTTTATCCCAGTTTATTTAAGCCGCATAAATATTCTTTGAACTAACAAAACGTTTTGTTGATACTATTAAAAAAAAAATACTTCTCAGGTTCAATGAAATTTTTTTCACGGAGCACAGATGAAATTTCTCACACAATTAATTACGTACGATTACCATTATCAAACTTTACGTTTCAACTATTAAAAAAAAGAAATAAATAAAAAAGAAAATACTTCTCTGGTTCAATGAAATTTTTTTCACGGAGCACAGATGAAATTTCTCACACATAATTAATTACGTACGATTAACCGGTTTCCTTGGTATAGAGCCACGATAAAAGCATATAAAAAGAGTCGTGGATAGCGAAAGAGGTCGTGCCAGGGGGTGATAAAAGTCGCGCGAAAGCGGCCCAAATGGGACAATGCGGGGTAGCGCAGCAGAGGCGAAATCCGGAGACAGAAAAAGCGCAGCCCGGGCCGCGTAAGTAGAACTGAAACTCCCCCGAAATCAGTTGATTCGAGTAACACACTTTTTTTTTTAAGAGTATTATACCAAACTGTCCGAAACTTTGACACATGACTCGTGATCATCTAAGAATTGTCCTGACATTAAAAATTTGGATTTTTGGAAAAGGTTTTTTAACTTAGCCCAGACCAGAACCAAAATGGCGTCGAGGCAATTATTGAAGGAACTAAATGAGAAACGAAAGTATCAGGACAATAGTACGATGATTTATAACATGCTGATAATCGAGAAACTCGTATTTGAACGGAATAAAGGCAAAAAAGTGTCTTATACGGTTCTATGCTAAAACGATGGCAATACAAGGTCTCGGAGTGAAAATTAAGTCGACAGGAAAATCACAGATGGCGCAGGGGGTCCCTCTGCAGTCAATTAGGGCCTCGGAAACCACGAATCCAAGGGATTTCTGGAGTTTCGCTTCGATTTCTTTACAATTATTGTACGAAACGACAGATGGAGTATGGCATTTAGTACAATACTGAATATAATTCGACCCAGCTGTCGATATTAAAATGAACGTCGGGAATGTAGGTATTTAGAAAAACCATTTTTACCGACGTCGATCAAGTTCCTCGACGCGTTTCGGCTCACTTTAAGTCCGCGGACGCGTCGGGTCGGGGTAGAGTCGGCGTCACGGAGCAGCGCCGCCGATTCGTTAATTCCGAGGGTGGCGCCCCCACCAGGTCGGATCTTCGGTTCCCCCCCTGAACCTCGCGGCGGAGCGCCGAAGGCGCCCCCACCCCGGCCGGTCACTATACGAAAGATATTAACTACAATTTTATATCGAATTACCGCTGGAAACACATTTCAAATTACTTGGGCGTGGAGGGGCGAGGGGAAGGGGGCGAGCGCGCGGCGATGGGTCGAGATTGGTCGACCCCTTATCGAGGCGCGCGCCGACTGGTCGGCCGGCGCGCCGAGAGGGGAGCGCGGTGGGCGTGGCCTCGCGCGGAGATGGCCGCCCAGGGACCCCGCTCGGGAGCCTGCCTCCAGTGTGGATCGGGCGAGGGAACTCGGTGCACCACGAGCCCGCATGCCCCGCTCGGAGACCGGCCAGAACGGGCGACGCCACGAGGCACCCGACGCAGCGAGCAGGTAGTCGAGGGAACTGGACCAGGATTTCGGAGGACGTCGAGGATTCCGGGTGGACCTGTCGGGTGGACTCGGGGTTCCGATCGGTCACCGGAGTTCCTAGCGACGGTCCGCGCGGCGGTCGGAGTGGGACAGTGGAAGAGTGGACGGAGTGACGTGGACGGAATATCGAGGATCGTACCGCGGAACCTGTTTTCGTCCGCCGAAAGTTCGGGATCGTCGTGATCGTCGACTACCCAGGAGGAAGAACCATTTCCGGAGGGATTCCAAAGAACATGGATTTTAAATCACCGTGGGAGACGACTCGTCTCGAGTAAGGTCGAAATTCGCGGATCATCGGGTCGAACGCGCGGACAGTGCGGACCAGAGGGGGCTCTCGTCAGGGCGCTGGAAATTGATAACTAGGAAGGACGAAAGGCGAAGCAGTCGCCGTGGTAATTACGGGGGAGAGTCGACGAGGACCCGGAGCCGTAATTGCGCTCCGAGCGGCCTCGGAGGCTCGGGCTCCCGAGGGATTTGGTTTGAATGTCGTTGACCCAGGGGTCGAGAAATCGCTCCGGTGGTCTTGGGCGACCCGGGTCACGAGGTGCTCTAGCTTGTCGCCCTACGTAGGGGTCGCTCCCGTCGGTGGGACCGGACGGGGCCGTCGCCCTGGTCGGCAAGATTCTGTCCCCCAGGTACCGCGTCAGTCCTGGGGTGGCGACAGAGGCCCCTGCAGGCGCTAGAAGCCCGGAACCACCAGCCGTGATGACGGTCCACCACCAGAACCACCACGTGGCCGCACTGAGCGGCGTCACCGTGCCGGGGAACGGGCTCAACCTTAGCAGGATGTCCGGCCTGGAGGCCCAGAGGGCCCTCGAGACCCTCGACCGCAACGGCCTGGACTCCAGGAACAACAACCTGGACCGCGTGGCCGACGCCTCCACCACCGTGCCCCAGAGGTCCCGATTCATGATCACCGACATCCTCGCCGGCGCCTCCAGCCCTGCCGGGCTGCAGACCCAGGAACCCCCCGGGAGCCCGCCCTCCGCCCCCAGGGATCTCAGCGTCAGGAACCAGGCCAGGTCCTCCCTCGGGAACGGCAACCTCGACGAGGACAGCCACCACGACGCCGTCTCCGTGCCTTCGAACGGTGAGCGCCCTTTCCTTGAAACGCGTTTTCCCGACTCATCACCTTAACGCTTAACTCTTACATATCACCTTTTAATCCTTTCGCAGTTGGAAAGAATGACGCAAAAATCATTTGGACCCCGAAGTGCGATCGGGATTAAAACGGGTGTAATGAGATAATGTGGACGCCAACAGCAGCGAAAGGGTTAAGGCGATACAAAAGTGGCGTCAAAGAGGTCTCGTTGGGGAAACTTTTTTCCGAACTGAGTGCACCGAATCGTTTCAAACTTTACAACGAGAATATGGAGGCTATAAGGAAGGTCCTGACCCTCATGAAATTTCGACTTTTTATTTTTAGAAAATTGTTTACAGACTGTTTAGAAATTTTTTCAGAAGAAATGAAATTTCGTGGGGGTCAGGACCTTCCTTATGGTCTAAATTCTCACGTGATGATGTTTGAAAGGATTCGGTACGTCTAGTTCGAGGAAATGTTTCACGATTGACCCTTCGGATGGCACTTTTGTATCACCTTAAGTTTGGAGGGATCTCGATGATTGGGTTGCATCGGAGTCTCGATGGGATAAGGGGAAGGGCGAGACAGGAATAGGTGGGCAAGAGGTTGAGTTCGAGGGCAATCTCCTTCATTTATTTTCCAAACCTTTCTCGATCGAGTCTCCGTGGAAAGACCTGATACCCTAACCTGTAAACGCGTTCTTGTAGACTTATGGTATTTCTCCGGGGCTTTCGACCCCGATTTTACCTGCCCACTAATCAAGATGTCCAGGTCGAACGCCCGCGGGTCCGGCCGTACTTGTTCTCCGGTAGCCGATTTAGTCACCTACGAGTTTATCCGTCGAAGAGTAGTCGGATCTATTCGTTCTTTATCTGGATTTCCTCGTTCCACCTCCTCGATTCGTCATCCTCTCGGCGCCGTCAGGTGTTCGACCTTGATTTGTTGCTGATCAATTTAAGGTGATAAGAAAGTGGCTTATGACTTTCAGGACCACCCATTCGATTCATCGTCTTGTTTAGGCGGTCGACCCCGACTCGTTGCTGATCAATTTATGATCGGATCTGGTACGTCCTGATATACTCGTCGATCAACAAAATATTTTTTTTCATCTCAGTAGAGTTTCACTTTTATAATTTTGCGCAATTTAGGTTCTTTCGATCACCTACTCGATTCATCGCCTTGTTTAAGCGATCGGCCCCGACTCGTTGCTGATCAATTTATGAACGGATCTGGTACACCCTGATATACTCGTCGATCAACAAAATATTTTTTTGGGTTCAATATTTTTTTTCATCTCAGTAGAATTTCACTTTTATAATTTTGCGTAATTTAGGTTCTTTCGATCACCTACTCGATTCATCGCCTTGTTTAGGTGATCGACCCCGACTCGTTGCTGATCAATTTATGAACGGATCTGGTACACCCTGATATACTCGTCGATCAACAAAATATTTTTTTGGGTTCAATATTTTTTTTCATCTCAGTAGAGTTTCACTTTTAAAATTTTCGGTAGTTTGGGTCCTTTCGATCATCTACTCGATTCATCGCCTTGTTTAGGTGATCAACCTCGACTCGTTACTGATCAATTTATGAACTGATCTGGTACATCCTGATATACTCGTCGATCAACAAAATATTTCTTCGGTTCAATGATTTCTTGTTCTCGGTAGAATTTAACTTTTACAGTTTTGGGTAGTTTGGGTCCTTTCGATTACCTACTCGATTCATCGACTTGTTTAGGCGATCGACCCCGACTCGTTGCTGATCAATTTATGAATGGACCTGGTACATCCTGATATACTAGTCGATCAACAATATATATTTTTGGGTTCAATGATTTTTTTCACCTCGGTAGAATTTAACTATTACAGTTTTGGACAGTTTGGGTCGTTTCGATCACTTAATTTGCGATTCATCGTCTTGTTTAGGCGATCGACCCCGACTAGTTGCTGATCTATTTATGAACTGATCTGGTGAATCCACAGATACTCGTCGACCCAGGCGAACTTAAAGGTATAGAGGATGTTTATCACCAGACTAGGACCGGATGTTCGGGTTGGTCCGAGCTCGGACCCGGTCCCTGATCCTTTCCGGATAAACGCCCGAAGGTTCCTGTTCGACAACGTTTAGGGTTTTTAATGGCGCCAAATTGGGAGCCCGCCGCTCCGGGACGCTTTAATTATGTCCCCTTCCAAGCCTCCTCTTATTTGTTTCATTCATCTCTACCTGGGTGTCGCGACTGGCCCAGGGCGTCTGCGTTTCGTAAGAGGGCACCCTGCCTTCTTCGTTTCCGTTAATTAAGCGGGACCTCGGGCAGTCGGACCTTTACCTTTGATGTCCCGCCAAGAAGTGTCCCACTTTTGCTGGGCCTCCGATCGCTCCCCGTGATCGGAACAGGAAGTCCAGAGGGGAAGGACTCGCAGGTGCCCAAAATATTTATCAAACTTTTCTCCAAACTGGGTGCACCAGATCAGTCTGAATACTTGAGTCTTTATTTAATTTGTAGAAAATTCGAGTCTTTTGGAATTACTTCGTTTGTTATTCGTTGATATTTAGCGTAGTTAATATTCGACTTTTGTCATTCACGTATTGTGCCGATCAGAGACTATTTTATTGCGCTTTTCTCGATTATCACGCGCGTCAGTCTGAAAACTTGAGTCTTTAGTCAATTTGTTGAAATTTTGGGTCTTTACTTAATTTATGGAAAATTTGAGTCTTTACTTAATTTGTGGAAAATTTGAGTCTGTACATAATTTGTGGAAAATTTCATTCTTGACTTAATTTGTAGAAAATTTGAGTCTTTACTTAATTTATGGAAAATTTGAGTCCACTTAATTTGTAGAAAATTTGAGTCTTTACGTAATTTGTAGAAAATTTCATTCTTTACGTAATTTGTAGAAAATTTCATTCTTTACTTAATTTGTAGAAAATTTGAGTCTTTACTTAATTTGTTGAAATTTTGTGCCTTCTTAATTTGTGAAAAAATTGAGTATTTCGGAATGACCTCGTTTGTTCTTCGTTGATATTTAGCGTAGTCAATATTCAATTTTCGTCATTCACCTATCGTGCCGCCCAGATACCATTTTATTGCGTTTTTCTCGATTATCACGCACGTCGGTCTGAAAACTTGTCTTTAATCAATTTGTTAAAATTTTGGGTCTTTACTTAATTTATGGAAAATTTGAGTCTACTTAATTTGTAAAAAATTTGAGTCTTTACATAATTTGTAGAAAATTTCATTCTTTACTTAATTTGTTGAAATTTTGAGTCTACTTAATTTGTGGAAAATTTGAGTCTCGGAATGACCTCGTTTGTTCTTCGTTAATATTAAGCGTAATTAATATTCAACTTTCGTCATTCATCTATAGTGCAGCCCACGGATAGTTTCCTTTGCGTTTCTCTCGTTCATCTCGCGGTATCTCCGTGGGTACCGAGTCAATGCCTCGGATTGCGTAGGTAAGGCACGTTGGTGTAAATTGGACAAAAGGCTTAGCGGCAGTGGATTCTCGTAAATCCTCCTCGGCCGGCTAAACGGTATCCCATGTCTCGATGTATGCGGCAGAACCGCTCGTTGAAATTAACCACGGCCATTACTAATCTTAAAGGCTCGGTGCGCGGCATGGCAGTTCCCGCGGTGGGCGAGCGTAGGAAGACAAACGGCCGTTAAGACCCCTCATTGCAACTTGAACCTGGAACCAAATTCCCGCTTGAGTTACACTTTGGCATTATCGACTCCTCCCGCGGGAACGATTCAAATTCGGAACCAAACTCCCCGAGTCAAAACTATCGATCTCGGTTGGACCTCTAAATTTTCTACCGCAAGAAAAAAAAAAGAAAATTCATTGAATTCAAGAGTTATTCCAAGAAATATTTCTAAAAATTGATCGAACTCGAGACACGTTCAAAAGAATATATATAACAAAAAAAAATAACCTGAGAAAAAAAAGCATTGAATCCACGAGATATTCCAAGACTGACATTATCGACTCCTCCCGAGGGAACGATTCAAATTCGAAACCAAACTCCCCGAGTCAAAACCATCGATCTCGGTTGGACCTCTAAATTTTCTACCCTGAGAAAAAAAAAAAGTTCATTGAATCCAAGAGATATTCCAAGAAATATTTCTAAAAATTGATCGAACCCGAGAAACGTTCAAAGAAATATATATATAAAAAAAAATTCATTAAACCCAAGAAACGTTAAAAAAAATATTCCGTTAATTCTAAGAATTGACTCAAATATATTACCATAATTTCGAATAAACGTTGCATCCAATTTATTCGAGTCAGGCAATTATTCAATATCTCTTTGGGTCAATGGAATTTTTTTTTCTTAATATACGTATATGTATATTTGCAATGACCCTTTCATAACACCTTAATGGAATCCCAAGGAGGTCGCTCGCACACTTCTTGGGGACAAAAAATGAGACACGTTACGTTGCGGGTACGAAAAAGGAAAAATGTCGCGGTATGTCATGTCACCTATCTTGATTCAGTATCTTGCGCTTGCAAAACCGAGAACATTAAGAAACGGCGTGTCGCCCGGTGTGCACCTTTTTGCCCTGCTTTGCCAGGACAAAACTCTTACATTATTGGTAGCCTGCAGATTAGCCGACAATTATTACGAAGGTTTCGCCACATCCGCGTTTCCTTAGAGCAAGTGGACGTTTTAAGGTGAAGTGAAACACGTCGAGGAACTTGATCGACGTCGATAAAGAAGATTTTTCTAAATGCCTACGTTGCCGACGTTCGTTTTTATATTAACAGCTGAGTCGAATTATATTGTGTATTGTACCAAATGGCATACTCCACCTGTCGTTTTCGTACAATAATTATAAAGAAATCGATGTAAAACTCCAGAAATCCTCTGGATTCATGCCTTCTGGGGCCCTAATTGACTGCGGAGGGACCCCCTGCGCCATCTGTGATTTCCAGGTCAATTAAATTTTCACTCCGAGACCTCGTATTACCATAATTTTAGCACAGAAGCGTATACAACACTTTTTT